GTGTTCAGCAGATAATACCCTACACTGCACATCAGGGCACTTGGTCGTAAATGCAATCTGATACCTTTTTCATGTGTACAGCTCTTGTCTGCCCTCTCCAAAAGCAGAGGGCTTTTCAGGACAGACTCATATTCTCTTATGTCCACCATTTCTCAGGACTGTTACCACTACTAGGTACACATGTGCTGTACAGAGATCCAAAAATCTAGATTTGGAAGGAATTTCATTATGAAAAAAATAATACAGACCATACAGTAACTGTAATTTATAAATTTTCAAATGGCAAAAGAAAAACCAATGTTAAGAATTTGAGCACAAAAGGGCTGGATTTGGGGTCTTAATAAGTACCTGAAAGCAGACCGGTGGATCTGGGCAAATTGCCTAGAAGCCCAGTTTGAAGGATAGTACAAAGACTGTCTCTGACTCTGAATTTTCCTAACCGGAAAAGATGACCTTTGTCTACCTAAAGTCTTAATAACATGCTTAAGGGAAAAAAGAAGGGTGGGGAATGGTGGGCCGTAGAATTTGGTGTGCTTTCGTATTTCCGGAAGTGCAAGACACTCTTCGGTTCAGAATGACACTGACAGGACCACTTTCTATGTAGACACCTTTTCGTCTCCACAGAGATTTTGCAGACCCCTATGCATTATAACAACTAATTAGAACACTCAGATGTCACAGCTATATGCAATTTACAAATTGTTTGTAAAGTGCTTTGAAAATGGAAAGTGCTAGGCAAGTACTCAAATGATTGTATATTAAAAGCCTTTGACATATAAAATCATTTTATGTAATAACTGGCTCTTTAAAAGGCACAGTACTTTATAGCTGAACAGAATTTCTGAGCTTGAACCATTGATATTTTATTTAGAGTGAAATGCTGTTAGCAAATCAGACACTGATCAAGTTTTTTTCAGTTTATATAAATAAATGTATGATTCTTATCTATCTCCCTCACTTTTTCATCGACCAGTTCTGCCTTCCCTTAGGGTCCTGCAGACTTTTTGCAAAGATTCCTCCCACACCACAGTGACTCATGGTTATCCTGCCTGCCCTGCCCTGTTTTTTCCTTTCACACGTCTGCCTTGTCAAGGTGTTTTGTATGTTCCTGAGTTTACGGCTACCCTAAACAGGTTCAAGACTGCATGCCACATCATCAGTGACAATAAATCCTTCTAGGAGCAATGAAGCCATGAGATGTGGCAGGTGGCCACCAGTGGGTGCATCTCCACCAGTGGGTGTACTGTTATTGATAACTCCAGTCTACTATCACCGTTCCACACTGTTATGTCCACTAATTAAACTTGGCTTTCATCTCCTGACAGGTCTTGGTTCATAGGCATTGAACTTCATTTAAATAATCCTGTTTCCTATCACCACCGAACTACTCATAGGCAGAATTGTAGAAGAGGCAAACAAGTGTTTGATTGTTTACCACTATGCCTTTAGGACTTCCTTACATCTGCAAGTGCTAATGTCCTCACACTGACATTGGCTTTCTCTTACTATTACCCTGGGAAAATACTCCCTGTCCCTGCCCCATAACTTTGATCTTTCCCCATCCATTCCTCCTCCCACTTAATTTAGTCTCCAACGTCCTACAGTATATTTTCATTATTGGAAAACCCAAACTAAGCCATTCTTCTTGTACGAGTGTTAATGCTTAGCCTTTTTAGGCCCTAAACTAAGGCTGCCAGCTGCCCATCAACCTCCCCGTTAATTCCAACCCATATTTTTCTGTCCTCATGTGACTCATGCATCATTCTCCCCTCTTTGAAAGTCTTGGCTTCCACAGCTCGACTGTCTGCAGACTTTCCCACCACGTCATTGGTTGCTCTTTTGCCCAAGCTTTAAATACTGAGCTTATTCAAGGCTTGGCTTGGCCCCTCTTCTTTATTTATTAAAAAAATTTTTTTTAATTCTTTGGCCTTGCCACACGGCATGTGGGATCTTAGTTCCCCGATCAGGGATCCAACCCTTGTCCCCTGCAGTGGAAGTGCAGTCTGAACTACTGGACCACCAGGGAAAAGTCCCAAGCCCTCTTCTTAATCACATTCCAGTTTCTACGGATTTACCTCATCTTTATGGCAAGAATTCACGAAGTTTATCTCTATTTAAATCTCTTTCATGGCCTCCAACTCCTGTCTACAGATTACCTCATTCAACAGGGAACTTTGGATTTCAGTCACCTTCTCTACCTCCCAATCAATCCCCCCAACCCCCCACCAGGCTTCCCGTGTCAGTAATTTCGCCCCATACCTCGATAGGAGTCACCCTTCTCTTTCCTCACCTTCCACATCCAATTCCTGAGGTCTACCAATTCTGTGCCAGTTTGGCTCTCAAACGTATCTCAAATCCACAATCTTTTCTCCATCACTAGCTTACGGCCCTTCCAGGCCACTTCAGCTCTTACAGTTTATCTGCTTCTACCCTGGCCTCTCTACAATCCATTACAACACGCTGTGATCAGTTATTCAGATGTCTTCCCATTGTACTTCCCAAAGTCCTTCCCACACCAGAGCTCTGCCCGTGGAGTCTATTGTAGGCCCTTCTCCTCCTTGCTGGCCCTGCTACAGATATGCACGTCTTTCAAGACCTTTATTTCCTCAAACCACCAGTGTTCTGCTTCAGGACTTTTGCAAGTGCTATTCCCCCAGAATGCTTTTTCTTTTTGCACAGCCAGCTCCTTCTCTTCCTGTAATCTCTGGAAGGTCCTCTCTGCTTCCATACCTAAAGCAGATTCCCCTCTCAGAGTACTGGGGGGTGGGGTGCTCAGGTTCAAAGGTTGACAGATATTTAGGGTGAATTAAGAGTCAAGTGGGGGTAGGACAGGTATGAGACACAAGGCTGAAGAGGTAAATAGGGCAGCTGTTAAGTGTGATTTAGGAATATTTTAGGTTTTCCAAAAAAATCATTTTCCCCACATGCAAGTTTCCTCTTCCCTGTCTTTACTTTCTCTCAAATACTGTTCCTTTTAATGTAACCCTGGGCTATACTGAGATACCTACCCAAGGACTGAAAACATTATCTGGTCATCCCAGTTTTCTTCTTTAATATATTAGCATCCTGAAATTAGAGCACTGAACTGGTATCTGTCTTATAAATGCTACCATAAAGATGGAGCCTGATACTACCTAACATTCTCACGTGAAACCAGAATTCTCACAATTCTTTCAGATTATTTCCCACCCTTGCCCAATCTACCAATCATAGCAAAGGATGCAGTTGTCTCATGAATTACTAAAAACATCTAGGAAGAGGCCAAGTCCTCCCTTCACTCCCACCTTTCTTGTCTAGACTATCCACAGCCTATCTGGGCTCATGCTCTATTGCATCTCTCCCTCGCCCCCAATCACAGGTGTGCATACACATTCCTTTCAATTCCCTTGATCAAAGTCCTTGTCTAGGCCTCTGATTATCTCATAGTTTCCTCACTTTCAATGTTGGTTCAATTAAAAGGAAAAAAACCCCACAAAAACCTAAAATAGTCAACCTCGAGGACAAAGGAACAAGAACCACTCAAATCAGTTTAAATAAAAGAGGGAATTTATTAGAAGAATACAGTTTCTTGCAGGGACTCCAACAGCTGAAATGGGTTAAGAGCTAGAAGCAGGCCTCTCTGCAGGACAGATCATGTAATAACAAACGTTTACTTCTGGGTTTTGCAAGAGCACGAATAGAATATCCTAGTGGTCAGTCCTCCCTGTATAGTGCATAAGGGACTAGAATGTGGCTTCATTTCTGCTGGCTTTTTGATCCTTATATTCCTTTATGCTGGCCTCAAACTTGTCAAGCACATGCTGGCAGACATTCATGAGCTCAGTCAGGCCTCTCTGAAAGGGCTCAACAGCTGGAAGGGCACCTCGAGTCTGTATGCGCAAATTAATTTTGCTCTCTGAAGGATGGGTTGTAGTATAACCACAAAACTCCACTTCCGGGTTCTTCATGATCATGTAACGAAGAGAATTTCCTAGGGTATGGTCCTCCTCGTGCAATACAAATGTCACACAGTGTCTATCTGTCCCAGCTGCCTGGACCATTTCCAGGGCTGTCTTCCTCTCGCCTTCAGCCATTGGGGTCTTCAATCCAGATATTTTTCTACACACATATTTTTTATAAAAATGAGATCACACTGAATACGGTTTTGTAACTAGCTTTTTTTCATCTACTATATCACAGTTGCAACACGTTATTACTCTAATGCACTCCAATTACACAGAACGATTAGCATTAGCCCTTATTATTTTCCTGCCTCCACTTATTCTACCAGTCAATAATTTATTGCCTCCAATTTCTCCCTCTTCCATTTGGCCGTCCACATGGCCACAAGGGGAGTGTCCTTAAAACAAAAAAGTTTGCTAAAATTTTCTTTTGGTAGGCTCACAAGAAAGGAATAGGATTAGAATAGGGTGGGTCTTGCTAAAGGATGAAAAGGAAGTTGAAAGGCGTGGAAAAGCGCAGATTATAATAAAAATAGAAACTAAAGATCATCAACGTGCAGGGCCAACTAGGGCTTCCGTTTGCAGGAGGTAAGGAAATTAGAATGGAAAGTCTGAGAAGAGCACCAAGCAGGAGGGAGAAAGCGCTCAGCGCACAGAGTGGATCAATTAGCGCTCGGCACAGAGGAGGGACTTGGGCCCGACCAACACACCACCCCCATCGCTCGGGGAACAGTGGCCTGGTGCACGTTAGCTTTATTTGCTCTTCCTGTTCCAAATGGGGGTGGGCAGTTAGGGAGCTTAACTCTGGTCTCACAACTCGTGTTCCCTCCTTGATATCGAGTGTACTGAGAGTCTCCACTCAAGCAACCCAGGTGTCCCCCCCTCCCTTCCCGATCGGGGCCCCTCTCCCCGCCCTGGCGCCCACTGCTCCCTCCTCGACTGTCCTCCCAGCCAGGCCCTCGCTGCCAGGCCGGGCCGCGGAGGCTAAGGCCCCGGTCGGCCGCGGGCTCCCGGCGCAGGGCGCGGCCAGCTCCTCCCGTCCCCTTCCTCGGCCGTTACCTCTCCAGCTCCTGGTCGTCTTCCATGGCGGGGGCGACTTCCGGGATCCTCAGGTGGTGCTGACGGGCCGGAGGCGCTGCCCCATACCTCGAAGCGAGCAGGCGCCGCAGGAAGGAAGGACTGACGGGAGGAGCGCGGACGGAAGGAGGGAGGAGGAGCCGCAGCGGCGCGGCAGGGCCCGGCCACTGGGCGGGGCGTGGAGGCTCCGCCTCGGAGCCTCGCCCACGGGCCCCGCCCCCGGCGCGCGGAGGGCGGCGGCCAGGCCTGAGCGGTTCACCTGCGCTCCCGAGCGAGTCGGCCCGCAGAGCTAGTCGGGAGACTGGTGCGGTCGGGCTCCTGCCCCGCCCCGAGGCCGAGACCGGCCAGTGGGCGCCGGAGCTCAGCCCTCGGCACCTTCCCTCCAGGTGATGGCGAAGGGGGCGGGGCCTTACTTGCCGCCCTCAGATCACCTTCCTTCTCGGTGCCAGTATCGGGCCTCTTTCTGACTTGCTGCTGGCTCGGTGGGTGACGGGATTAATCCCAGGAAGGACCTCGCTTCCCGGGGACGGGGGCGTTCATGGCACGACAGACTTACACTATAGTTGAGCAACACACTTTGAAGAATTTCACCACAGAATAGCATGGGTGTAACACGGTATTTGTCTCATCTGGGATCTTGCAGCTGCACAGCTCAACTGGGTCAAAGGACAAGCGTTTGTTTTTTATCTTTGGGGGGAGGGGAGGAGTGAGAGTTTGGAAGGAAACTGTCCCCACTCCCCATCTTTTCTCTTCTAGGATCTCTTTCTACCCCTGGAGTATGTCCTGCCTCGCTTCGGACGTCCTTTTCCCTTTACCCTTTTGGCCTCTTAAACCTCCTCACCTGCGGAACATCCCGCTCACCTTTGTTCTCAGGTGCCCCTGCCCCCGCCTCGGCAACCTTTCACCACCCAGACTCGCTCTCCGCCCTCCTTCTCCCTTCGTACCTCTCCGCTCTCGGTCCCCTCAGGTGTTCTTCTTCGCCAATAACCCTCTCCCCTCCTGGTGGTCCTGCTCCCCTCGCCCCCATCACCCCGGACAGCCCCGGTCCCTACCTCCGACCCCCGCAGTCCTCCCACCCGACACTCCCACAGTTGTCTTCCTGCGCCACCTCTTCTCCTCACCCCACCCCCGATCCCCTAGATGTTCACCACCTCCCCCAGCTGTTCCCCTCTCCTCCCGCCGTCGGCGGTGAGCGCAAGAGGCACTTCCCGAGCGCGGGCAAATCAGGCGGGCTGCTTGTACAGCCGAGGGGTGGGGGAGGGCGGGCGGCGAGGGGCGGTGCGGGCTCACTCTAACTCCTAGTGACGGCCCAGGCCTGGCCCGCCCCCTGAGCTCTAGGATAGGCGGAGCCTACCTCTGGCCCGCCCCCTCCCGCCCTGTGCTGTCGCCGATTGGCTCGGGTGCGTGTCGGGTTGCGCGGCTTGGCCCTGGCGTTCGCCCGCGGGAAGGCAGCAGGGGCGGTTGAGAAGTGAAGTCTTGGCCAGAGTTTGCTTCTTGCCAGGAAATCGGCGGCGGCGGCGGCGATTCCCGGCGGAGCGGAGGCCGGCCGGCCCCGCGCTCCTTCAGCGGGCCGCGGAAGCGGAGCAGACGCTGGGCTGCGGCGCCGGGAGCCGGGCGTGCCCGGGCAGGCGCGCTCCCCCGGTGAGTAACTTTGCCCTGCCCGCCTCGCTCTGCGCCGGCTCGCGGGTCCGGCCGCGCCTCAGGTGCGGGCGGCGTGGGGTGTGGGGCGGGCGGCGTGGGGTGTGGGGCGGCCGGAGCGGCGCCGCGGCGTCTTCCGCGCTCTCCTCGCCCGGCCGGGCTGCGGGGACGCGAACCGGTGTGGGGCCGCCGCGCTGGTCCAGGGAGGAGGGCGCGGGCTGCCGGCGCCGGGTGCCCGCCGTTGTTACCGTTTGGTGGTTCCGGCCACCGTCTCGCTGGTCTTCGCGTCGCTTGCTCCAATTTTAGGGAGGGGAGAGGTGGGGATGAGTTTTCTGTTCCCTGCGTGTATGTTGCCGTGAATGAGAGTGCCGCCAGCTGCCTTACCTCGGTCTTGTTCCCTGCAAAGGAGTGGGGAGAGATCATACCCTCGGTCCCAGCCTGTTGCCTGTGAATTCTCACCCTTCCCTTTAGACTGGAGAGGGTGGGAGAGAGATTTGACGTCTTCGAGGGAGGAATTTCAAAATTCGGATCTTGATTTGGAAGCCGTCGCACCCAGAGCACCATTCAGGACAGACATCACTCGCTTTTCAGAGCTTCATGCCCTGTTTTAGACGAAGGACTTTCCACTTAGATGTAGTGTTTCTTCTGATGTTTCTGTGTACATTTAAGGTTATGAATTAGGACGTTCGTATCTGCCAGGAGCTACAGTACACTCATGCGTGGCCTTAACTGTGTAGCTGTTTTCTTTTTAAATCACAGAAACGAAATTGAATGAAAAGCAGCGGCGGTTCGAGGAGGAAACAGTTGTGAGCTCCGGTTGACTGGAACTGTCTTCACTTTAAGAATTTCACATTCTTGCCGCAGTGGTACTTATCTGTAGATTGGCTTTCGTCCCAGGACAGATTTTGATTTTTATTTATTTACTTTTTTTCTTGCTTGTACTGTGACGCAGCACTGATAAAGTTGATCTCAGTAGGTCAATTTTATTTCCTTGGATAGATTTGATTTCCATCTCCACACCCCTTTAGAAAATGGACTTTGATCTTGTATCCTTTTTGGCCTGTCAGAGCTTTCTTGAGCCACGAATAACAAAAGTTTTGCCTTTTTAGCTTGTCCAAGTCCCACACATGAGTTTTCCCATAGGGGTAAAATGTAGGCCAACTCGGAACCGAAGTAGAGTAACACTGCTTTTAATTTGTCCCACCTGTGTGTTAGCAGTCATAATTCTGTGACTTGTTCCTGTCTTTTTCTCATCGGGTTATACAGTTTTCATTATTTATTCATCTAGCAAATGGGTGTCTTCTGTGTGCCGGGCGTGGATGGCAGAGGTCAGCTCTTGCCCTGAACTGGCTCATGGTGTACCAGCTACCTGAAAGCAATTTGAACAGGTGCTGTGGGAACTTAAATGTGGGAGCATTTCTGCCCGGAGCTTGTTAAGGAAGACCTCACACAGACACTTCCAACTGCTGAGAGATTTTCATTCTAGGCAAAGGGGCTGGCGTGTACGGTGTTGCTTTATGAGAGCTGCATATGGTTCCTCTGGCTGAAGCACACAGTGTCTGGGGTTGGAGTCGTGGCCAGGGCCTGGTGTATTATTCATTTCCGAGCACTTAGCACTTTGCCTTGCTTACAGTGGGCACTCAAATATTTATTGAACTGACTTGAATGGAAACATGAAGGATTTTGTATGCCGCATTAAGAAATTTGGGCTTTATCCAGTCAGTGAATACAGAGCTGCTAATTTTAAGTAGGAGAGTGTCGTGATAACATGTACATTCCAGAAGGATAACTGTGGCAGTCTGGAGGATGGTGAGGGTCCAGATGGGAAGTAGGGAGACAGAGCAGGAGCTGTTATACTGTAGGGTTTAAGTGCGCAGCACTTTTCGATTCACGTTATCTGGGTTTGAATCTGGCTCTGTTGCTCATTATGTAACCTCTTTCTTCCTTAGGTTCTTCGTCTCATAGGGTTTGGGGGATAAAACTTGAAAAACATGTATGCTACTTAGAATAGTGCTTGGCGCATAGGAAGAACTTGGTAGATGCTCGTTGTTATTCTGCGTGAGGGCAGTGGAAGTAGAGATGGTGCGGCCCTTGGGAGGTGTGATTGGTTGGATTAGGTAAGTGACTGCATCTGATTAATGAGAGAGGGGTGATTCCTAGATGTTTTGACTTGAGGGCATTGGAGTATACTGGTTAAGGTGGCTGTGAACAGGGATTGAATTCCATCACTTACCCTTAGAATTACTATCCTAACTGAACTTTGGTTCCCTAATATTTAGAAAACGATGTACTTGTCTAGTAGGGTTGAGGATCAAATGAAATTATGCGTGTAATGCCCTTGGCGAGTACCTGGCACATTACACGTGCTTAATAAATATTAGTTGTTCCTGTCGTGGTGATAACATCAACGAGCCAGCGGAATGCTGGAAGTTATGAGAAGGAAGAGTTAAAAACAATTGGTGGTAGGAATAGGGAAAGGAAGATAGTTTTGGACCAACCCATTGCGGTGCTCATGGGTGATTGAGAAGTCTGTGATGCAGTTGTTGGATGGATGTGTCTGGCAGGAGCTAGGAAAGAATGGAAAAGAAAAACAAGAGTTCACATAAAGCCGTGTGGGTGTGGTCAGCTTTATGGAAGATTTGGGGGAAGGGGGACAGAGAAGAGGTTTACATACGGCAGTGCCAGGAGTGTTGGTGTCGGATATTGGGCATCTCTAGCCTTAAAATGCATTTTGGCCACCATCACAAGGGAACTCCAGGCTCCTATAATCAGGTTGGCTCTATGCCCTTCTCCCCCTCCTCTTCTTCTCCTTGCTGATCGCGCCCCCAAAATCCAAGTACTTTTTAATTTTGTTATGCAGAGCCATTTAACTCTTCCTGTTTATGGGGCTAAAGTTCACTCTAGGCCCACCTTCCTATGCAAAATCCAAGGTTTCTAGAAGAATCAAAGTTCTCATTTCATAGGTTTACTTAGGAAGTAATGTTGGTTCTAAAATATATATATATATATGTATATATAAATACGTTATGTATATCTGTGTATATCTTCATGTAAAATTATAGTTGTAGAAGACTTAGCCAGGCCTCAAATGACCCTGTTAAGGGGCCTGGGAGATTTACAAAATAAATCCCCTTTAGCTTTCCTGTCATGTCTCTTTTCCTCAGAAAGTACAAAAGAGTAGAAAAATCTGTGATTATGTAAGTTGTTTGGTTGGATAGAAGAAATGGCTATTTTGTGTATTAACTGATGAGAAGTTGTTAAGAGGAGTTTTTTAAGAAGCAAATGTTCATGATATACGTTCTGGTGATAAATGCATCTAGTTAGTATGTTTTTAAAGAGGCAGGTATTGTAGGCTCTGTCCTTCAGAATGTATGCTTCATAAGAGCAGGGATCCTGATTTGCTCACCGAAGGAGAGTCCCCAAGTACTAGAACCATAAATATTAATG